GACACTGTGTTAGTGGGACTGTCCCTTCCTCCCATCATCTGTCACTTCCCTATGCATTCACTTCATCCACCTTTCTTTCCATTGGGCTGACTCACACTCAGCTTATGGCCTCTAAGCAGCAGCAGATACAGCCTCGCCTCCGTCACCATCAAAGTCTCCAAAGAAGGAAAACGGGATGGTCAGTGATCAAGAAGTGAGGTGGATGAGAGGGAGGTAAATCCAGGAGCTGGAGTCTATATGTTGACTGCGGGGACTAGAAACAGGAGAGGGAGCACACTGGCACTGCTAAAATGTTCTCTCGCTTTTAGCAGGGGCAGGCCAGGCTGCACTCTGGGAGCAAAACAGCTACCAAATACAATGGCTAGGGGCTGCTGGAGTCAATGCTGCTGTTTCACACGGGACACTAATTAAGAATGGATACAAAACACAACACAAATGAAACTGCCATTTTAAAAGCTTAAATAATGAGAAAAATTAGACAAATAAAAAAAATAGTTTTTAAACAGAAATTGAGTGTCATTGAACACTGATTCCTCTGGGTATGTTTAGTGGTCAGAGGTTTAGGAAATAAATACCTTTATATAACCAGACAGATTATAGGTAAACACTTGGATTTAAGCACATAAAGAGCTATCCTGAAAGGATAAATTGGACTGGCTGTCAGGTAAGAGTTTCATTCTTTAAGAGTCTTCCCTATTCATACCCATCACCCCTACAGGATGTGGAGCCAAGTGGTTAGGAGTTGAACATCTTCTGTAGTGGACCACAAATTTTAGTGAGCATAAGAGTCACATGGAATGTTTGCTAGGAATGCAGATTCCCAGGCTCTACTGGAGAAATGCTGATATTCAGTGGGTATGGGGTGGGATCACAAGTATGCAGTTTTATAAATGGCCCCAGGTGTATGGTGCAGGTGGTACACTGGTTCAGACTTGGTGAAATGCTTCTTCCCAAACTTCCCTGAGAATAAAGAGTCGCCTAGTGGACTTGTTTAAAGCCCTAGTTCCATCTGTCACATAGACTGATTTACGAACAAAAGCACTAGGTGATTCTCAATAGAAAATCCAGGCAACAACAGTTTATAGAACTCCCTGGGGCACTTAAAAATTGACAAATTCCCAGACCCTAGCCCCAGAGATCACAATTCATTTGGTCATGGAAGGGGTCCATGTGCAGCCAGTGGAGGGTGGGTCAGATCAGACCCCTTGACTTAACTAACCAGGAATTATTGATAAGAAACATCAGAAGTTATAGACTACACTAACAGCACTGGTTATAAAAAAAAATTTGTCAAAACTACAAATTAGGAGCGGCCATCTAAGATACAACTATTGGTGTCTTCCCATCCAGAGCAAAGAGTAAAGAAAACCAAAGACTCAAGGAAGCAATTAGTCCAAAGAAGTAATGGCCCACACAAACTGCAGCCTCCACTAGCCTCAGACCAGAACTAGATGGTACCTAACTATTATTACCAACTGCTCTGACCAGAATCATAATAGAAGGTCCCCGACAGAGTGGGAGAAAAATATAGAAAATCCAAATTCATAAAAAAAAGACTAGACTTACTGGTCTGACAGAGACTGGCCCTTAGTCACCCTTCTACCTTGGATCTGAAGCCACTCCCAGAGATAACCTTCCAGCCAAATAACAGGCCTATAAAGTAAAACAGTAACACCCATGAGGAAAGTGCTCCTTAAAACAATCATCTATATGAGACCAATAGTGCAACATCACCCCAAAAGCAAAGATAAGAAGGCAGGAAGGGGCAGGAATACTGGACCAATGGGAATGGGGAATTCATGGGGAGAGTGCTAACACATCGTGGGGATTGCAACCAATGTCACCAAACACCAAACGCAAATATATAAATTATTGAATGGGAAACTAATTTGCTTTGTAAACTTTCACCTAAAGCACAATTAAAAAAAAAAAAAAATCCTACATATTAGGTTTTTTTTTTTGAGATGTTTTGAACTTTTTATTGACATATAAAATCAAACCCACTGCTGTTGAGTTGATTTTGAGTCATAGTGACCCTACAGGACAGTGCAGAACTGCCCCCTTGGGTTTCCAAGGCTGTAATCTTTACAGAAGCAGACTGTCACATCTTTCTCGAGTGGAGCCGCTCGAAGTTTTTTTTTTTTTAAACACACAATTGTGGCTTTCTTTAAGGAAAGCTAAAGTAAAAATGTCCTACTTTAAAAACCACATTGGACAGTCTTTTCACAAGAGTATAAAATTTAACATTTTGGGCCAGCAATATGCCGAATTCCTAGATAGTTAACAGGAGTAAGATTACCACAGCTTTCATGTTCACAGTCTACAAGTTCAATAACTTATAACTGAGAGCTATTTCCATTTTAGCACAAAACATGGAAGATGCTTTCTAGATCCCCACCACCAGAGATTTTCCAGTCAATATTAATTTTTTGATCATTATTTTTAAAAAGTTTACGGATGCCAGTTGCTATCCTAAGCAGATGGTAAGAGCTTTTTCTGGAACAAAATGACTGAAATTAAAGCTCTTCAATGAATAATCTTTAGGCAGAGGACACATTTACAGCCATTAGAATCTTCTGATCTCGTTTCCCTTCTTAGGATCATCACATAACATTTTACAGGCAGCACTGTGGGCACACACCGTCAGCTCAGCATCCTTTGTGAAAAAAGCTACAAAGCTACTTACTCACAGAGGGGGTTACAATCAGCTGCCGCTGAGTTGACTCCGACTCATGGCAACCCCCAGTGTGAGAGAAGAACTGCACTCCATTGGGTTTTCAATGGCTGATTTTTCAAAAGCAGATCACCACGCATTTCTTCCAACGTGCCTCTGGGTGGACTAGAACCTCAGACCCTTCAGTTAACAGTCAAGTGTGTTTACACTACCCAGGGACTCCAAGGAGAAAGGGTTGAGTGGTACAAATATAACAGGAATCCGAGAGAGATGCAATTCCGAGTTGGCAAGAAGGGTTGAATTCTCTTTTCTGTTCTAGGCAAGTCATAGCATTAATTTTAATACTGAATGAACTGAATGAAAACTGAGCCCTAACAGAGTTTTTAAATGTTTCCTTCTAAATGAAGTGCAATCAATACAGGGAACGCACCTTTTTACCAGTAAGAGAAGCCTGCCTCTGTGAGAAAGAGTGCCTTCTCTAACAGTAACTCTCTCAGCTGAAAAGATTCATATGAGCTTCAGTGAATTTCGTGATTAGGACGGTGACACTTTTGCTTTCAGAACTAAGGCTGATGAATAGCTACCAAATACAGGGGTCAGACAGGAACTGTGTTAAAACAGTAAATGTTCACCATCTCATTAGTAACTACTGGATCATTCTTGCTCCCCCCTGTACCACACTTAACAAATAGTCTTAGATGTTTGGACGAAAAATATGAGTGTGAATTGATGGAGAACATCAGTTATATTCAAAAAGTCAAAGGAATTTTTAGAAATGCCTCTGAATACAAAATAGATGATGCAAACATAAAACCCAATGAATTAAACTGCTCTCCCTTTTTAATCAGTTTTATAGAATGGTATCATACATCAGTAATCATATTAGAAGACAGGATGGGTTCCTTGTACATATACAAGATTGTGCAAGCTCATTGATTTAGGCTTATATAAAGATTTTACCAGATTCCAGAGGAGAGGCAGTACAAACCTTTTTAATGCAGGAAGCACAAGAAGAACATGGTATACAAGACAGACTATTAACTCAGCAGAGATGAATTCCTAAGGCGTGTGGTCCCCGCCCACACTGTCCGCTATTACCCAAGTGGAGAGTACTTCTTCACCTTTGCTGACTGCAGGCCTGTGGAATGTGACTGGCCGAAACGCACTCCACAGCTCAACCATACCAATGTTGCTTTAACTCTGAAGCAAACACAACATTTCCCAAGTGTACTCAAGAGTAATAAAGCTATTCCTGGTCATCCTACTAAGGTAACCTACATTCTAAAATATAGTAAGCGATTATTAATCTGGCAGTTCTCAAGTATTTTGGCATTCAAAGTATCTCAAATATTTCATCACTGTCAACTCCATTTATTAAAAACTCCTTGATCTTCAAGATTTTTTTTTCCCCAAAATTATAGCAGTTACATACAGAACTCACTACACTTAAAAGAACTAAAAAGAGAGCAAACACAGACTTTTCCTTTAAGAAACAGACAAGAATGAAGAGGCAGGAGGAGAAAGCCTAGGATACACAAACTGAGGAAGCTAACCCCACTCTATTTCTATGGCGCCTATGCGATCCACTAGTAATTTTCAGCAAGTGTGTTCCTACTTTCCCTCTTCACATCCAATGACATCAGAGAAAGAAAAATGTACAACTCTACACATTTAAAATACCTAATTCACCTTTATTTGGTCCAAACTGGAATTCTCACGGCAAGCAACAGGAAAACAGTGCCAGGGCTCAGCACGCGCAGCCAGCTACAATCTCATGGCAAGAACAGAGTCTAGTTACTGCTTGAGCCAGGTTTTTGTTCTCTTGCTGACATACCGCAGTAACATGTATATGTAAAATCCACTTCAAACAAAGACTTCCAGAACACAACACGAAGAGAAAAACCATGCATCACGTATTTTTTCCAATCTCTCAGAAAGCCTAATTCTTTTACTACAGCTATTTAACTATCTGTATAAAAAGGCTTTCATAAGCAGGTTTTTAAAAAGAAAAAGCAGACAGCAATAACCATGGTTGAAGTCTGACCTAAAGTCAAACAAAATGTCTACCAGGTTTAAACAATAATAAATTTACAAGGAAAGACAACCTTCAATCTTTATTTCTACTACTTAACTTCCAAAAGCAAAATATTAATACAAAATACAAATTGATTTTTCTTTTCAGTAGAGTTAACCTTTCAAGATTCTGTGAGCTGAGCTACTATCTCCCCATTTAATATCCATTATCTTTGTAAATTCAATACTATAATTGTTGGCTACCGAATGTTCCCCACGGGTGATTTTGTAGTTTTGCTCTAAATCTTTCATGTAAAATAAGTACTAGGAGGAAGTTTAGTAAGAAACATTTGAAGAAAAACTATTTCTTTCCTGAAAGAGCAAAATCAAATTACTCCATCTCACACACCACCTCCATTGCCACGTAGCTAGTTACTAACTGCTAAATTCAGAAACCAGCTCTATAATAAATCCTGTCATGAAATCAAACAAGTGATGCTTGATGCTGACAGGATTTTCAGAGGACCTTAAACAGCTGGGCTGTGCATCTCTGCCACACCTGAGTCAAGATCCAAGCATCAGCATTCATACGTAATTCTTATGCCGAATCTCTGTGGTTCTATCCTCCGCACTGGCTCAAGCACTGCACACCCGTATCTCCTGCCTCCAGTGGAGCCCTATACCCCAAAACCACCACCATCTCCTCCACAGAAAAGAGCCCTGTGCAAGGTCCACATCTTCATATTTATTTCCACAGTAATAACATGGAATAGCTTTAGCGACCATCATGGAGGGAAAAAAAAAATCTCTCATTGACTTACGGGTTAAACCTCATTACAATGAATTTCAACTATCCAAAGTCTTCTGTTAACATGTATTGTTTCAAATGCTGACGTAAATGAACTATTATCTAGGTCTTAGAAATCGTGGTATACAGTTTGTCTTCTATTTATGATAGGATTTGATTTCTAATACCTAGGCAAGTTTAACAGTTACAGCTCATAAAGCACATGACTCTGTACAGAGATTTCTTGACCTAACATTCAAAAGTACATTTCGTAGTACTAGTTTAATTTTGATCTCTCCCTAAAAAGCAGAAACCACATCCCACACTTTTATGTAACTTGATGTTTTAAAATAAATCAATGAGAAGACGTGAAGGCATAAAGAAAATCCAGCTTCTTTAGGTATCAGGAAAAACAGATCTTAGGGGGGCGCAGACAGCCTCTGTATTCATCTGTTCAAGGCTGTTTGTCACAGTCCCCTCACAAATGCCTGGGAGCGCTGCTGCCAGCAACAGGGACTCAAAGTACAGGACTGAGTTTGTTATAAAAGAAGCCAATCAGTAAACATGTTTAGGAAACAAATACAAAGTGAAATCAGTCAGCAATGTCCTATGTATAAGACTTGTGCTTGAAGCTTTGGTGTGCCTCCTTGGCTGATTTCTCAGGCACCAGAACCTATTTCTGGATTAATTACTGATGTAGAATGCAAACCAAACTACTGAAACACGTACTTTTTTCAGAAGAGGGAAATAAAGGCACAAAAACTTGCCAAAATAGATTTTTTTCATAAGAATAGTATGGTTGATTAAAATAGTTTATCACTAGTAAAACCTGTATCACTAGAGCAGACAATACAAATTAGTTTTTAAAAAAATGACATTCACTGAATTCCTGGACTGTGCATTCAATGTGAATAATCATCAAAAAATATATTACAATTAAAGGTTTGTAAGGAGTTCTGTTTGGGGTTTCTACAGCATATTTAGTATTTCAGATGAGAAGTACCACAATGAAGTACCAGATATCTACCGTTCCTTTTAATGTATGGCGGTTAAAAGAGTCTGTCTCCTATGTGCAGGCTCAAAAACTTCCATGGTGAGAAATATCTGAGTGACTTACTCAGTGATTTTTATACTCCTCATCAAAGACAGCCCTGCACATAAAACTCCACAGCTAGGAAATTCGATAAACTGTATTACACTTTAATAAATACTTCCATGTATTTTTTTGTTTTTTTGCTCTTAAGTTCAGCTTAACTTTGTCAAGGAAACCATTTCACAAGAGGGTATGTCACAACCTACTATAAGCAATATTCCTTGTTTATTAGAATCTGAAGATGTCCTTATTACATCAAATATAAATATATATTATATTTACATTTCCTTCTTAGCTTTCCGATTTAGGTGAGTGTATTTATAGATAATGCCACTACTGTCACCACTATTACAATCCTCGGTGCAATTGGTATTTTCCTTCCATTAGATGCATACAAATTAGACAGCATCTTAAAAGGTGTACTGTTCTTTTTTTAAAAAAAGAAAAGGAAAGAATGTGTATCCATGGATAGAGATCTAAGAATTCTGTAGGAGATTTTTTGTTTTTTAATATTTCAAAATACCTGAAAAAATGTGGTCCCTTTTTGCAGTGCTATTCTCTACTGGGGGACAAGAAAATAACAAAATATGCAACTCTGAAAGGAAAAGAGCCCAAAGAAAACCTGCTTGTTAGCTCATTAATCTGTTTAGTAAAGATCTGTTTTAAAATGTCTGAGTGCTGTACAATATTATACAAAAGCAATCTTCAGCCTTCAACGCAGGTGGTACATTTTCTCAGAGATCTGTTTGCTAACAGTCTGCTGCCATGGTGGGCCTTGGTGTTGGTCATTTCCGGTCATCGATGGTTTTAATGAATTCCACTGCTGCTGTGAACTGCATCCACCAATAGGACTCTTCTCCAGACAGACAGCTGGCATAAAAGCTACTGATATACTGAACAGTAGACAGCAAACAGGGTGGATTTGCCTAGTGAAGTGAAAACCAAAAACGATTCAATTACTCAGACACAGAGCTCTGCTAAAATCATTTAACTTTTCTCCAAATGTTTTTTTGTGAATGAGATACTGGTCCTTTAGAAATTCATCCCAAAATTGTTTTTTGGAGGTAATCTGAAAACCCTAGCCACCCTGAGTAGCAACAGTATAAAGGAAAGGCAATCCAAGTTTTATCCTAGCTGATCTAGAGCTTTCTATCCTTGTAAGTCACTTAACCTCACTGGTTGTTAAAGAGGCTGAACCACTCCCAGTGGTTTCACTCAACTTCCCAGAATTCCAGTATGCTATATAAGGAAATAAATTGTATGCAAACTGAGTTATATCTGGTTAGGAAGTCCTGGAAGAATCAACTGAGAAAGAAGAAACAAAAAATGACAATACACCCTCTACTGTAAGAGGTAACATAGAATGTGTCCTGTTTTTTCACCTTCTTTCATGTGAAGAGAAAAGAAGAAAAGCTAAGGCTGATCACAAACTCTTCCTATAGGTTTCTGACTCTATGAGTTCATGTTGCAGAAACACTGCAAACATGAAGACTTAGTAAGATTATATGCCAAATATACTTTAGACATTAAATTAAGAACTGCTCTAAACAATCATCTTTGAGTCTAATGTTTGATTAACTCAGATATGTTAATCCTTGGATAAAGTATCAAGAACCAATGGACGGGCTGAACTGCCTGGAACACGTAACCGATGATATTGTCACTTAATGGGTATGTGTACCCAAACTGCAGGGTTCCCTCTGAAAATGTTCTAAATAAATTTTTAAAATAATAAAACCTTAATCTTAAAGTCAAAAAAAAAAGGACAATAAATGTCAGTACTTTAAAAAATATGCTACAACTACAAAATAAGGTTAAAAGGGAGAGGGATGATTAGTAAATCCGTCTATGTGACAGGTATTATGAAGAACTGAGTGTGAAAGAGGACAGCAAACGCACAATAAAAAGAACTTGCCCTCATTCAATCACTCATTCATTCAACAATTATATACTGAGCTCCAACTGTGTGCCAGGCACTGTTTAGGTGTGAAGGATGTATCAGTGAATAACAGATATCCATCCCTAAACTCATGGAGTTCACATGCTTGAATCATGAACTCAAGGCACTGCTTTAAAAGCTGACAATGTTCAGGAATCTAGTCCTCCCATCTCTTCTTTTGAAAACCTCAGATTTGGATGGGACAAATCTTAACATTAGACGCCTTCTTTTTGGATACCACAGAGCTTGAAACATGGAAAAGAGCTGAGTTCTCTAACATCACGTCAAGTCCTGCACCATCTTGCTCAGAACGCCAAATAAACTCTTTTAACTAATGGTAGTAAGGAGCCCACCTTTATCAACACAAATACCAAAACAGGGACAAAGTCATCTGCTCCTGGGACAGAGTCTTCATTGGCCAGGCTCAGGAGGTTCATAATAGTAGAGCACATTCTCAGGATGCACTGCACTTTGTCCCGGGGGGTTTTGTAAGCACTTATTGTCCTGATTTCTGATTGAGCAGACGGCCACGGTGCCTCCCGGAGATACACCTAAGTAAGACCACAAACAGAGACATAGAGCTTCACTCTAACGGCAACCACGGGTAGCGACCACAGCAACCTCCACATCAGGAGGCTACATTTTCCTTTCTCCAGGAAAATCATGTTGCAGTTCTTCCCATTCCACCCAAGACTGAAGATTAATTTTCAAACTGTGATTTGTTTTGCATTTAAAAATAAGGCAACCCAGATATCCATTAATAGAGAAAGGGAATACAGTTAACACAGAACCTGGAGTTAATGAAATTTCAAACAATTATCTTTCTTAAATAGCTAAGAATGGAACTTCTGTATATTCAGTAGCTGATTCCAAAAGCACAAACAAGCTACTAAAAGAATATACTTTAAAAATGAATATGTACCCTTGTTACAGTAGTTCTAGAAATAAGATTCAGAAAATCAAAGACAATTAAAAATATTACGCTAATTAATATTCCATTAGTGAAAATTTTAATGAAACAACCAGAAAGCTCAAATACCTGAAACTTCCCTGTTTTCTTCTTTTGTGGTAAAGAGGTAAAGATGCTAATCTCAATAACAAAAAGGTAATTCTGAGGCCACATTATGGATTCAATTCCCTCTCCTGGAACAGTGGTTTTTATCCTTTTTGGAGTGCTAAAGGACTCCTTCTTCAAACGGGAAGTTTCTGCACAGCGTGACTATAAAAGCATTAATGCAGAGCACTGCCCCAGGGAGAGCAGGGCTGAGCACCAGGAGCCCTGCCTGCATGCTTAGCGGCTTCAGGGGAGGGGCTCCTCCATGCTGGCTCTCCCTCCTCACCACTACTGAGGCCCCTCTCCATGCCAGATTTCAGCCCTCGGAAGCACCTTCAGGAACTTTATAATTAGAGTGAATTACATCCTGTGCAAATGGTGTTTTGTATTTTTATTATATTCTAGTTCCTTGAAAAACTGGTAATACATATATGGTATACTCAGTAACTTTTAGTTAATAATATCACCCATGCTATATAAACCTGTATTACCTCTGGTATCTGAAGAGCTCTGTGATTTGCAGTCACTACTTTAGACAATCTCTGAATATGTTCATGAAGAACCCTGAAAATACCCCAGAATATATATATAAATATACATTTCAGGTACACAAAAAGTCATAACTGATTTTTTTTTCAAAACATTAAAAACATTTTAGACTTACTTCTAAATACAGATTACAATTACAGTTGAGACTATAAGCTTTCTTTCGTGTCAAAAAAGTCTCACGTTTAGGATCTGCTTAAAAATGCTGAGAGAGCCAAGGGGATGCAGGGAGGAGGGAAGTCCTACTTTCCTGGACTAGGACACAGCATTCCAAAGGAGAAAGCAGAGGAGTCCTTAGCCCAGGAGTTGCTTGGACACACTATTTAATAAATAAGCTGAAAGGAAACAGATCAAAAGTCAGAAACCAAAGATCTCAGATCTTAAATAGAAAAGGGACTGAGAACACCCAACTCCTCATTTTGTAGACGAAAATAATCAGGCTTAAAAAGGTAAAGAATTTGCCTAAGGCAAAGTGTAGGTACTCAAAGGGGTCGGCAGCAATAGCTAAACCCAGCTTTCCTGGTTTCCAGAAAAACCTTGTTGATTCTCCATTCGATAAAACCTGCAGAAACACCATAGAGGGGTGGGTAGCAATAATCTACTTCAAAGTTACTCTTTACAGGAAGTACAGTTTGAATGTCCCTACTCCTTACTCCACGCCTGAAGCCCAAGCCTGGTGCTCTAGAGAGAAAACAGGGTCTAGCCAGTGTATGTAAGTACAGAAGCCTAGGGTGGGCTAGAAGCCTCTGAGTCTGCACAAGTGAGGGAGGCAGGCTGAAATGATCCTAATCCATTCACAGGAAAGTGAATTCTCTCAAGTATATATGCAATATCTTAAAATTTCCATTTAAAAAATCTTACATAAACCACTAATGACCCACCCTGAGATTTTGTTACATGGACCCCTTGAGAGTTACTGGCACAGTGAGCCACTATTATTGTTGGGGAGCATGGGAGCAACCTCAACAAGGTTATGAAGCAGTGCTCAAAAAAAATGCAGATGAGGAAAAATAAAAATGTTGATCATCCACAGTCCTACTACTCAGAAATAACCCAGTGTTACCATTCCAGATGTATATTTAGGATTATTTCTTTAAAAAAAATAGCTTTACTGAGATATAATTCACATATCATACAATTCCAAGTATTTCTGATATTAAAATATACAACTATTCATCGCTATATATATAATAAGCATGTATTCGCTGTCAAGCTGTGCTTGACACTGTAATAGAGTGGTGAATAGAAACACTGAGTTCCTGCTCTCACGAAGGGAACAATCCAGAGGGCAGAGAAGCATTCATCAAACGATCACATAAACCAGTGGTTCTCAGGACCAGGAGGTGAGTTTGCCCCCATGGGACATTTGGCAACGTCTGGAGACATTGTTGCTTGTTACAGTTTGGGGGGAGGTGTTACTGGTATCTAGTGTAGAGAGTAAGGGTGCTGCTAACCATCCTACAATGCACAGGACTGCCCTCCACAACAAAGGATTGGCCCAAAATGTCAACAGCGTTGGGTTGAGAAACCGTGACTCAAACAAATGTAAAATTGCAACTATGGCAAGCACTATGAAAAGTACACAGGCCTGAGAGCTCCAACAGCAGATTTAACATAATCAGAAAGGTAAGGAAAAGTTTCCATAGTAAAGTGATGCTTGAGTCAAGATCTGAAGGATATGTTTAAGAGTCGATCACATGAAGAAAGAAGGGAAGAACATTTCAGGCAAAGTAGAAAGCAGTGCCTTCCCAAAAGACCATACCAATCTATACTCCTTCAAGCCTAACTCCCCATATCCCTGAAACACTGGGTATTATCATTCTTTTTGATGAATGAAAAATGATAACTGATGCATTTTCTTTTAGTATCAGATACTAAGTCTCACGTATAACTTGCCTAAAATATAGAGTGACCTGATGTATCCCTACATAGTCCAACAGGGACACTAAATATAGAAGCACTCACTGGTCGCGAAGTATGTCCCCATCCTGATTAGGGTAGAAAGCAAGCTTGAAAATCCGATTCATCACACTTCGTTCAATGGCCAGCTGAGCATCCTGAAGCTGCTCTTCACTGGCGTTTTGCCATATGACGTCCTGAGCCATTGCACCATAAAGAAACTGCAGAAAATCTTCTACCTGAGCAGTTTTATCATCAGCTGCTGTGAGTTTCTGGAAGTCTCCAATGTAAAATAAAAAATTTAAATGAATTATCTGAACAATTTTAAAAAGTTATCGAATTAATTTTAATCACTAGCTATGCACATACGATAATCTTAAAGCCAAAGGTATGTGTGCATTTGGCTTATTTTAGAAGAATATGCAGTCAAATCATTAAAACCAAGAGAAAATAAGACATACGTTAAAGTTTAAGAGCAAGGGGTTTGTTACAAAAATAATTCATTTTAAAAAATGAGAAAAATTTTATAGATCTAAAAAGTTACCAATTTTCCCAATTTTTTTTATTAACTATAGATAGGTCAATCCAGGATAAAAATGCAATTTATCTGTCTGACATCAAAATTTAATTAAGAATCCATAAAATAATTCTGGGAATTTAAGGAGCTGTTCTAAGGAGTGTAGGTACTCAAACAAGCAAAACAAAAAACATCTTTTCAATAATATATGGCTAAAGAGGTATTTAGTTACCATGAATAAATTCTCTGATCTTCTTCTCTTTGCTCTCAAGCAGTAACCTCACACAGACAGTAGTAAAGTATCGATTGGCCACCTCTTTGTCCCGCAAAACTCTTTGCAGTAGTCTTTCCAGGTGAGCCTGTGTGGTCTGCAGTCCTTGTCGACAACGAGTTAGATAGGCGATATATGGGGCCCTTTTCCTAAAAGAAAAAATGCTTTGCAGAAGATCAGATATATACAGTGCATAATTTCTTTGGAAAATTATTTCATAACCCTTGGTTTTACAAATAGGCATGTCTGCTGCAGGCAATTTTCTGCAGGACTAATCGTGCTGCCAGCTCAAGAAACAGAATTATCTTGCATGTAACACAGTCTATAAAGAAAATGTTCTACGTCTTACTTTGGTGAGTAGCGTCTGGGGCCTTAAAAGCTTATGAGCAGCCATCTAAGATACTCCACTGGTCTCACCCCGATGGAGCAAGAAAGAATGAAGAAAACCAAAGACATAAGGAAAAGATGAGTTTAAAGGACTAACGGACCACAAGTACCACTACCTCCACCAGACTGAGTCCAGCACAACTAGATGGTACCCGGCTACCACCACCAACTGCTCTGACAGGGATCACGAATACAGGGTCCTGGACAGAGCTGAAGAAAAATGTGGAAGAAAATTCTAACTCACACACACAGAGAAAGACCAGATTTACTGGTCTGACAGAAACTGGAGAAACCCTGAGAGTACAGCCCCTGGACTCCCTTTTAACTCAGTACTGAAGTCACTCCTGAGTTTCACCCTTCAGCCAAAGATGAGACAGGCCCATAAAACAAAATGAGACTAAATGGGCACCCCAGACCAGGGACATTACTCTATTAGTAAGAGCAGCTCATTTATGACTACGTTTGTAGGCTAAATAACCAAATGTGTTCCTCAGAAAACTATATCCAGGTAAACATAGCCAAGCACTCTGTAGTAAGCCTAGATTTGTTTCTGAATAATGACTGAAGAGAAAATACAGCTGAAATTCAGGTCTAAGAGCTGAACAGGCTGGGTCAATTACCTGTAGTCCTCAGCAATAGATGCCAGCAGTTTCCTACAAGTCCTATTATCAAAGCGGCACACACAACGCATTGTTTCTTGAAGTTGAGCCATTAAGTTCTTATCTTGTAGATTAATTGCTTCAGCTATCTGAACTTTTAAGAAGCATACAATTTCATTGTCTAAAACAAACAAACAAAAAATGCTAGTAAGAAATCTTACTGTTGAGAATTTCCATGGGGTCACATAGCTGTATGTAATATCTCAGCATACAGCTCTCTTTTACCATGTATTATCAGCTATATTACCACTCCCACTTATAGAACCATTTAATTATAGAACCAATTAATGAACCATCAATAATCAAAGTGCCCTTAAGTGATGCTAATATAAATGCATTACACTGAATCATGTGGAATTGCTGTATAGATTAAACACAGTTGAATACTGGTGATTTCATATGGTTCAACCTATAAATACAGGAACAAATAAACTATCATGCAGCAACTCACCTTCCGGGTCTGTGTGGTCTGGTAAACCATTCCTTGAATGGGTTAGCACTGGGAAGGCAACAGAATCCGCAGAGCAAAGAGCAAGCCTCAGTTTCTTTTTTGCATCTCTAAAGAATGAGATTTATAAAATGTATTACTAAAATATACTAGTATTAATAAAATGTACTAATTTTCTTAACCAGACAGGGTCACATTTTAGAAACATTTACTATAAAAATCAATATGCTACCTCAGGACTCAAAAGTTTCAAATGGTCAGAAACAAAGATAATTTTTAACTAACTGACACCTCACTTAAAGGAACAGAGTTTCTAGTTACCAGTGAAACAAGGCTGTGAAGGTACTTTGGGCAAGGATCACTCTGTAAAGTCCTCAGTATCAGTCAAACAGCAAATCCTTTTTGAACTTCTATCATATGCTGAGCTCTATGCTAGGCATATGGCAAGAGTAAGAAGAGCATATTATGCCAGAGCTGGAAGGGACCACAGAAGCCATCAGACCCACCCACCAACAAAATAAGAACTGAATCCCTTCTACTGCCCTCTGGAGAAATGCTGATCCCACCACAAGACAAGCTCGCCACCTGACAAGAAGCCTTTTCTACTGCTCTATGCTTGAAAGTTTTTTGTGTTGAGCCAAAATCTGCTTCCTTTTAACTTTCAACTGCTGACTGAATACTACCTGGTGGTAGAGCACACCTTCAATTAGGTGTCATCCTCCACACAATGTAGCTCTTCATACTGGGAGATACAACTGAGTTTCTTTTATCTACTATTACCTGTGGCCCTTTCTGGTTCTGTGGGCATGGAACAGAGTGTCTTTAGAACATCCAGTTCCACCATCCAAAGAAAGAAGCCTAAACACCTTACACAATAGGGCAATCTGCTCTTCCTCTGCAGGAAGATGTACTTGTCCACCTAATCTGACTAGCCCAGAATCTTTCCCCGTTGGTTTTCTTTCTATAAAACGACTGATTTAGAAATCAAGCTGATCAAATATAACATTCACCCACTTTGCAAACGTTCTTATAAAACATATAATGGTAAAGTGACCTGGTGAATTTAGTAAAATAAAAAAAGTCATGGTTAGAAAATATAAATGCTGTCTCCTACTCCTCCTAACTTTACTATAGAAAAAAAAAAATTATAAAGCTTCACAATACTTATAAACGAAATATGCTATTTGGAGTTTGCTTTAAAATAATATTGGGGGGCTAAGTATGAAACAATATTGGCCATGTATTAATAACTGCTGAATCTGGGTAACGGGTCCGTCATTGTACTCTTCTATTTTTGTATACTTTGAAAATTTCTATAATAAAAAAGTTAAAAAAGAGAGAAAGAGAGGCAGAGCCAGAAAATCTCGTAAGTCCGTAAGAAATCACTGGTGTTTTAAAATTGATGCTCCTTGGCAGCGGAGGCAGAGGTTCCCTATGAAGCAAAGGCCCCTAAAGCCACTTTCTTTCTCAAGCCCTGTTAGAGATAAAGAGACCCGCCCAGGGCATGACGGAATGACAAACTGAGAGGGCTCCAATAGGTTTACTGGGGACAGTGCGTTATTCAACAACGTGGCAGTTGATCCTGCCTCCTAATTACCTCAGTCCCCCCTGACATTTCTCACATGGGCTGGTAGCTTTGGATGGGCAGAAGCACTGCCACTTCTTTCATTTAAATTACTTATGTGGCCCCTGTGGGCATATGAGTTTTTTAACCCTGAATTAAACCCTTTGATATACGACACCCACATCTAAAGGAAAAAAAAAAAAAGTATTTCATTCTCATTTCTCTGCCTTATATACATTTATTAAGTGAATCAATCACCTGACTTGAAGTAACTACAATGGTAATCAGAAGTCCAAACCCAAAAGTCCTAAATCCTGTAAGAGGAATACCTGTAAGAGAAAGCTGAGTCCTGAGGGTGGGCCGCTTGGCTCGCGGAGTCTGGGAGATCATCAGCTGAGATGTTCTGCAGTGTTTCATCACGAGGAGAATCATGTGCACTTTCACCATCACCCATAACCTCTAAATAAACACACACCCCCAAAAGGATAGCCAGGTTAACTTTGGAATATTCTGGCACTAGTAAGTATTCAAAGCAACTCAACAACAAATCAGCTGTATGTTGTACAATAAGAGTTCTTTAAAAAAAAAAAATTCAAGCATTTAAACTTGTTAATCGATAGCAACAATATCAAGAGATTAATTTTGAGAAGAAAATGGTTTTAATTCTTATACCAACCCTAATCCAAAACAATAACGTAATAAAGTTAATACTCTGTAGTCAGAATCACTGAACCACAGAATTGAAAGGGACCTCAAAAACTATTTTATGTAACACCCTCATTTTATAGACATGGAATCCTGCCCAGTCAGAAAATGGCTGGCTATAAATCCCTTGGTTAGCTAGTGGCTGAAGTGGACCAAGTGATCAGGTCTCCTGATTCTCCTGACAAGAGCTCCTCCCACACAGCCATGAATGAGCCAGGGGACTAACTCACAGATGCAGCAAGGACAGATCTGTGGTTCTCAGCGTTGTCTTTATGTTTGTAATTAATCAATTAACAGTAGATAATACACACGCATATAAAATCAAAAGGAATAAAAGGTAACAAAGATACTGTAGTTATCTGCAAAATATCCTTATTCTTATAATGATAACTTAATTTCAAATGCTTCAGGAAAAAAGAAAATATGGCAAAAATTGATAAGTCTAGTAGTGGGTATGCAGACCTTTATTGTACTATTCTTACAATTTTTCTGTTATTTTAAACTTTTCAAAATAAAAAAAGTTTGGGGAGGGAAGTCTCCCTAGGAATCCTCCTCAGAGCCAACTCATGTTACCAGTTTCTAATGAATTCTTCCAGGGACACTCCATGCATATTCAACATTAATATATTTAGTATACTATTTACGCTTTTATACACTTTTGTTCCCCACTTAATTTATCTTGGGGACTACACCGTTTTCTAACAAGTTATTCAGTATTCCACTGTGAGGAAAACAGAATCCTTAAAAAAATAAGTACCAAGCAACAATGGATAACCTGTGCTATGACTCTGCTTCCATATGTACACTAAGTAACCAGATAAAAATACAGTTCTGTAGACAGTGAAAAAGAACCTCCTCCCATTAAAGCATGCCCTAATTCCCTCTGGCCAGTCACCCCAGACTTACGTGATGACAACTCTAAGGCATTTGAATATCTGGGCATACCCAGACTTAGTGGGAGAGTGTAGAGTGGGACATCAATTCAATTTGATTTGGTTTGAAATACATATTCCTCTGGGTATTCTTTCTTTTAAAGACTACCTTTAATTCAGATTACCTTTATCACTGTAATACAAAAGCTACTATTCAAATCTTTATCATAATTATCACCTGTACTTTCATAGTTTGCCATTGCTCCTTCACTGGGGCTGGTTCGTTTAATAGCATTCCTGTACTTGTCCAGAATATCCTCAGCGACCTGAGCTTGCGCACTGAGTCTAGGGCTGGGATCATCTGCAGGGGAAAGGAGAGTGTGAGAATTAGCTCCCTTTGGTTTGTACCAACGCTGATGTTAGTACGACACCAGTAGCACAATCCCAAGGGCGTATTAGGAGGTAAGACTTAAAAAGAGCACATATCTCTATGTTAAGAGGCACCATGCAGCTGCCTATTCATCCCATTTCTAGGTCTTAGAGCCTTGTGAAAGCAGGAGACTGGTAGGAGTAGCTCCACTTTCTCATCATTGCCAGAATTCTGCATGACAGTGTCAAAGTTCAGTGCGGACTGAATGGATGACGGTTTCTAAAGTGCTTACACCCAGATCACGGTTATTAGCAATTCATGCTAACAGAACTTTCAACAATGCGTTTTTATATGCAGACTCCACTTATTCAGACATCTCCATGCTGAAGGAGGAAAAAAAGAGGTAAAGTATTCAAACTTAGAATTAAGCCCTTTTTAATAACAGTAAAGTATTTCTTACTCCATTCTCCCTTCATGAATTTCTCTCCCTACATCACATTTGAAAACTACAGATATTCATATTCTGTCTCACTAAATCTCACCATGACAGTGCAGCTGCTGGAATAGAGCACTTTTGTGCTGCAATGGTGTCAGAGGCACTCCTAGATAATCTAGACATTCTTGGGGAGTGCTGGAATTGTACCTGGGATGCACAGAGAAAAAGCTTATCACAATCACAAATGTAGCACTATTTACTGACAGGACTGTTATATCCTGTCAACAAAATCAGCACATCAAAAATATTTTCCTGGAGTCTAAAATGGTAGAGACATTAATTAACTGGGTTGTCAAAGCAAAGAATTGCTACAGATCTACAGGACAAAATAAAGTTCCATAGTCAGACAAACTCTAAAGACAGCTCTAGGCCAAGCAGGTAATCATACACGTCCACATTCTGATAGAATCCCATTTTTTAAAAAATTCTAAAGAGACATCAGAATTAGATTTTATGTGTGTGTGTATTTTAATAGCAACTATTATTAACAGCAGCCAACATTAAGCACTTATCAAGTGCCAGAAACTGTGCTAAGCACCTCATATAACGATCCTAATCACCACTACAACTGTACAGGGAGGTACTGCTATCACCCCCATCTTATAGTAAACAAAGGCATAGAGAGATTAAGTAGCATGCCCACAAGTTCTTCTTTTGTTTCCATGAAACAAATATTTGGTATTCATGTCTTGTGAAGTAGTAAACTGTAGAGAAAGGGGATTTCCAAAGTAACCTTTCTGCTACAATGGTATTTGAATGTATGATATGGTACTCCTAATAAAATCTGATCTTTTGCAAATATAAAGTGATAAAACCTTTATCATTACAGAGTCTTTTTTTGGAGGGGAAGTACTTTTTGACTATCGGTTTTGAGTACTGGTAAAGGTTCTGAAAAAGGGACAGTACACTTTGGCTAAACATAGTGAAAACCACAATACTGCTTATGCCCTTTATTTCTATAACACCATTCTTGTAAATGTTACCCCAGGGAAATAATTAAAACCAACAAACAAAAAATGCTATAAATACAAAGTTGCATCCAGTATTTTCACAGTAAAAAATTGGAAACAATTTAAATATCCAAATAAGAGAATGCTGATGTTGCAGTAGAATCACAATAGATTATTTTATAGCTAATAAAAATGATTAAAAAACCAGCTCTGTCTAGTAGAAACAGACAGAAGCGTTTATGAACATGTGATAAAAGAAAAATAAAAAGCTACATACATACTCTGATTCAATCATAAAAAAACTAGGTAAAGATATGGGAAAAGACTGGATGAAAATATGAAAAAAGTAATTAGGGCAGAGGGATTATGGACAGACTGGTAAGAATCTTCCTTTCATGACATTTTTAAATTGATTTAATCATTTTTAAATGGGTCACTAATTAGGTCTGGATAGCAATTTCTGCATCAGTACAGAATGTAAACTGCTTAAATCATACACCAAGAAAATGAATTATTTTATGAAAAAAATTCACTGTTCTCTAGTTAGCTTCTAGTCTCAGCACCAAGAATCAAGAAGAATGTATTAAAGACACAAGTAGAAAATAATTTATAACTTCTCCAAAGTTATTAATTCAATATTTTAAAAACATAAAATTTCATTAAGAATATTTTACTTTGTAAATTTTGGTGTTATACTAACACTAGTTAACATAACTACTCTGCCAAAAGGACAATGTCTTTCCAATTCTTTCCAATCAGACTGTAAGTTCCTGAAGAACAGGGGTCGTGTGCTACTGGACTTAATACCCACAATACTTAGCACAGTGACTGTCATGAGTCAGATATTCAACAAGTACCTAATGACTGAGCAAGGTGCTTGACTGTTTTCAGCAGGAAACTATGGCCTGTAAGCACATCTCCCTGCTGTTCAAACCCTTTATTCCAGGGAGAACACCATATCAGATAAAGCAGGGATGCATGTTAGGACACAGAAATATACCTAAATATATAGGACTAGATATTAGAATAAAATGCATTAAAATGGGATTCTACCTGTACTATGCTGAACTCTTTGAGGAGGACGTTCTTTCGAAACTTATCCCGTTTTTAGATAATTTCTTCATTTTAACTTAGCAGGATAACATGTTTAAAATCAAGATAAGAAAAAAAGAGGTGAGAAATTAACTTCTCTCTAGATGTGCTATAGCCAGGGGAAATAGTACACAACTATCAAACTCAGGTTGAGTCATTAGCACTACCTCTCAAACTTTTCCGTTTTAGGACACTCATTCATAATGTGCCAAAAAGAAGCTGAGGAAATACAAATGCTGAATAAGGTTAAGAACCCAATTCCTAGTTATACGTTCCTTTGGTTAGACAGCAATGTTAAAATGGTTCAAGCTGAAAAAAATTGGTAAAGTTTCTAAAACTTTTATTATAATCGTTGGCATTTATGATACTGTTTGAATAAATACTTTATCACCAAAAAAGAAAACAATTCGGTAAAACAGGATTTCACTGTGATCCTGAATAATCAAGAACAAACTGTACATGGAAATAAATTTTGAGTTCTATGATCAGCAATAGAGAAAACTACTCAATCAATGTTCCAAAGATATGGCATGCATAGTACCAAAACCGTCACCACAGACTTTCCTAAAAAGCACTGTTTCATCATCCCACTAAATGTCAAGTTGTATGGTATGCCGAGAGGCTCAGGATCAGAGGCCTCATCATAAACAGAAGTTATGATAATGAGGATGATGATGGTGGTGGCGGTCTGCAGGAAGAGCACACTGAGATTCACCGTGGCCACCAAATGGAAACCACAGAGCTATGAAGAACATACTCCCCACTGTACACACATACACACACACACTCTTCTAAAAAGGCAACGCTTATGGCACCCAAGAAAAAGTGTTATGAAATATGTGCTCTGGGAATGAAGGAGCCAGGAAGTCCATGGGTCTACAAACCTGTGAGTGTTGAGAATCTGTCAGGCCCCAGATCATCTTTGTCTTTTTCTTGTTTTTCTTTCTTTCTAAATGGTATAGGAGCTGGAAATTAAATAAAGTCAGTAGTGTGACATATAACATACTGCACTACTCGGAAGACAGCAGTCATTTGGGAGTTACTGGTGTGCCAACATTTCTAAGTGAAAGGAGGCTGAAAAGTTTAAAAGCTAAGAAATCGCGAGCGTCAATTGATAATTGTTCTTAAAATAGCATTGAAGGTTCTTAAATTAGCTTTCAGAATCTGCTTTGGGGTCAAGAATGATTTAATGGAATCCACTGGAAATAAAAACCATTGCCTCTTAACCTCTGCTCAAGAACAACACATTCAAAACTCCAAGCATCATTCTCTCCTCCTCATCAAGTGGGCTTCAGTATGGCGTGAAAGTAGCTTTCCTTAGCTCCTCAGTGCCACAGTTCTGAGAGAGGCCTTTGGAAGAAGTCTCTAGCTTTAATCCTGTATGATCCCTCCCCTCAGGAAGAGATGCTTCTGCCAACTCAAATCTTAATATCTACTGGTATGACGCCAGGCTATCACAAAAAAAAAGCAAACAATTATATACAACTGCCTTCCAAAATAAACACTCACTAATATTTAGGGTATAAACCTTCTCAATAAACATAGACATAAAAAGCTTAAATTTATTCCAGGAATGTAAAGGATGACTCTTGTATATTTAATTACCAATAACATCCCTTTTTCCTGCAGTAATTAATAGCAATACATATCTATGTTATATGATATTTAAACAACCGTGACCTGCATGATTTCCATTACCAAAACCACTACCACTTCCTTCAAAGAACAAGAACTATCATTTCTAAAGCTCTGCCTTAGCATCCATTCTGTATGGAACCATTTCATACACCCTAAAAACAGCTGGAAATTTAGGTCCAGCAAGCCTCATAGAGGAGTTGAGATGCTGGGTGTCTGAAAGAGATTTTGGGACTTTGCTTCTTGTTACTAATGTAGCATTCTAATACTGTTATAAAATTACCTTTAGGCATGGCTGAAACAAAACGTTTTCTCCACCATGGTCTGTTCCTGTCTGATTTCTCATCATCGCTATCTTTGCGTTCTTCAGTCTGTAGAAAAAGTTTGATGCTTTACTTGGAGGTAGGTAGCAGGATAAATTACTATGAAAAAGATTTCAGTAAGTCTGTGCAAGGCAAAACCACTTTTGTTTGCCTTAAATTAACACTGCTCTTATTGCCACGTAGACAACTTCTAAAACATGGAAGTATGCCTTTTAAGCATCAGACAGTGATTTCCTTGAGGGCAAGCATTACCTCATTATTCTTAGGAAATCCAATGCCTGATACAGAGCCTGGCACACAGGAGGCACTCAATTAATACTTATTGAATGAATAATGGTTAAATGCAATACAAATAAACTCTAGAGTGGTAGTAGAGATAATGGCAGTAGTATTAATAATAAATCCGAGTGTATACTGTGTGCCAAACACTGAGAGTAAGGATATATATTATCTCATTTAATCCTCACAGTAGCCTTAAAAGATAGGCACTATCATGAAGTTCTTTCTATCAATGAGAAATGTTAGACTAAAAAGGTTACCTCCCTATCTTCCCCAGTTACACAGCCTATATGTGGTACAACCGGGACTTAAACCTAGATGTGACCAACTCCAAAGTTCATGTTCTGAACACCAATCATATTATCATTAAGATCACATGTCAAAGGGCCTGGACTGTAATTTCCTTTACTGGACTATCATGTGATCTTTCTATTTTTTCATCTATAAAACTGAGAGAGCCCAAGCAGAAAGATGAGGGCATCGTGCCTGGGAAGGGTTAGCAGTGGGGATGGGAAACTGGTTACATACAGGGGGACTGCTCAAGTAAGTAAACACTTGAAGAATAATGAAAGTAGGTTTCTCACTGTTGGAGAAGGGAGTTACAAATACGGAAAGGAAAAAAGATAAATTGAGATTTGTGTTGTTGGACTGGAATTGACTGTATTGGTGTGAGGTCATGGTCCCTTATATATATATATACATATATATGTATATATATGTATATATATATACACACACATAGATAGGTATACATCACAGATTGAATTATGCCCCTGAAAAAATCTGTGTATCAATTTGGCTGGGCCATAATTCCCGGTATTGTGTGATTTTTCTATATGTTGTAAATCCTGCCTCTATGATGTTAATGATGGCGGATGGGCGGAAGCTGTGTTAGTAAGGCAGGACTCCATCTACAAGATTGGAATGTGTCCTGAGGCAAACTCTTGAGATATAAAAGAGAAGTGGGCAGAGAGACAGGGGGACCTCCTACCACCAAGAAAGCAGCACCAGGAGCACAACCTGTCCTTTGGACCTGCGGTTCTTGCGCTGAGATGCTTTCAGACCAAGGAAAGACTGATGAGAAGGCCGACAGAGATAGAAAACCTTTCCCTGGAGCTGATGCCCCGAATGTGGACTTTCAGCCTACTAGACTGTGAGAAAATAAATTTCTCTTTGTTAAAGCCATCCACTTGTGGTATTTATGTTAAAGAAGCACTAGACGACTAAGACAGTATAGAAATAAAAACAAATGTAAACGTATGTATGGACATATACACACACATATTTCCTATTCTCTGGTGGCGTAATGGTTACGTGCTAAGGCTGCTAACCAAAAGGTCGGCAGTTTAAATCTACCAGGCACTCCTTGGAAACTCTATAGGGCAGTTCTACTCTGTCCTACAGGATTGCTAAGAGTCGGGATCTACTTGACGGCAACAGGTTTGGTTTGTTTGGTTTGGCCCACTGAGAGGTCCTGGGAGCAGCAACATCTCTTCAGCAATGAGCATACTTAGTACTCAAATCTTGAGTTCTAAAAACAATTTTTCATTAAAAAGAATGAAGTTTCGTTGGAGAAATGGCTGATTCCAGGGCTAGGGCAAAGTACAAGATAAGCTGGAACATCCTGTGCCAGAAAGCAATGAAATTCAAACAATGATGGGGGTATATCAAAAGAAACCAGGAGCCAGCTTGAAGGGGCTCCCACTGGCCAAATCAGGAACAAGTGGGCTTCAAAATAAATGATAGTAGTAACAAATCTATTGACTTAAACATAAAACCATGAGACCACAGATATAAATTAACAAGTGTTTACATTCATTATAAGGAAGACCGAAGAAGAAGTGACACCTTTCAATTGTGGTGTTGGTGCAGAATATCGAATACACCATGGACTGCCAAAAGAACAAATTTGTCTTGGAAGAAGTACAACCAGAGTGCTCCTTGGAAGGATGGCAAGACTACGTCTTACATACTTCGGACATGTTGTCAGGAGGGATCAGCCCCTGGAGAAGGACATCATCCTTGGTAAAGCAGAGGGTCAGCAAGTAAGAGGAAGATTCTCAAAAAAATGTACTGACTCAGTGGCTGCCAACAATGGGGCTCAAGCGTAACAACGATTGACCAGGAGAGTGCTTCGTTCTGTGGTGCAGAGGGTTGCTATGAGTCGGAACCGATTTGACAGCACCTAACAACAACACATTAAAAATTTGATGAAGAGAGGCAGGGCCAAAATGGCAGAGTAGCCAGACACTTCTAGTGGCCCCTCTTACAACAAAGACCCAAAAAAACAAGTGAATCGATTTTTATATGACAATGTAGGAGCCCTGAACATCAAAGGCAAAGTTGAGGAATCAGACTGAATAGCAGGGGGAGGAAAAGACGGTTCAGAAGCAGTGAGGAGTTGCCAGATCTGACACGGCAGGAGCCAGCAACCTGTGGACTGGATCAGCTGGCATGTGCGGTAAGGAAAGCAGTGGCGTTCAGGATGCGTTTTCAACGTCGGGAGAGACCGAGTAGCAGAGAGCCTGCTCAGGCCTTCAGAGCCAGTGAAAAGCAGTGCACAAACGGCAAAAGATAAGTACATGCGTTTAACTACCACACGGATCAAAAAATACCCTGTTTGGAAAGAACCTCTCTCACATTTACCTGCTCCCTCCCCTCTTTGCACTGGATCCTGGGCCAGCTTCAGCGACTTCCGCATCCCCTGGGCCCCTGGGTCGGAAGTAGGACCCGTCAAGCGCCCTAAGCCATTCTCCTGGCCTTCGAGAGGGAACGAATTAACCAACAGGAAAAAATAATCTGCCAGTTCCCCTAAGCCAAGAACTCAGGGCAGGCATAGCTCCTTTGCCTAGGCACAAGCATAAGGGATCCATGAACTTCGATGCCTTTCACCCGGGTAGAGACCTGGGTAGGCCCATTTCTACAGTGTAGGCCCTCATTACCACCGTACAACAACATACATACCTGAAGCCTAACTTCACTCTATCAGCTATAAGACGGAGTGACAGGTTCATGACATTTGATACTGCTCTGCCCATTAAGCAGGGTCATCACCTACCCACATCAGAGGCCTGAGGACTGGTGGTTCCACCCAAAGCACCTAGCAACCTGCAACAGGGGTCCCAGAATAAGTGGTGCCTCCAAGACCTTACAGCCAACAACACTGGGTGCTCACAGTCTGGCTGCAAAACTCACTCACCTAGGCACTCTAGGAAACAGGGAAACGCTTTCCTCCCAGATGCTCGAGCAGCCGTCAGCTCCTTGCCTTGCTCACCGCGTGACCCCCTACTGCAGCCAGATACCTGTGCCTACTCCAATCACTACTGCCATCTAGGACTGTAGGTGAGAGCTTGCATCACACACTTGGTGATCGACTATCTGGACACCTGAGCTGAATCCATACAAGAAAAGTAAACGGACTCCTGGGCTCACATACCTAGTAACAGATCTAACCATCTGCTAACAGGACATTAGAGCTTCAAAGGTGCTAATAAAACTAGCTCACACGAGCAGCCCATCTGGGCATATCAAAACATAATAAAACAAGAAGCTAAGACATAGTAAACAAACATAAAATAAATTAATAACTTATTGAAAGCTCAGAGACAACGGTCAATCTCAAATCACATAAAGAGGCAGACCATGATGGCTTCAGCAAGTTCCCAAAACAAAGAACCAAGAAATTTTCTGGAGGAAGAGAAATTCTTACCAGAGGTAGAATACAAAAGATTAATATACAGAACTCTTTAAGAGATAAGGAAGGAGATCAGGCAAAATGCAGAATAAGCCACAGACACACAAACAAAGCAACAGAGGAACTTAAGATTATAGAAGGCCAAAATGAGAAATTTAACAAGCTACAAGAATCCATAGAGAGACAGCAATCAGAAATCTAGAAGATTAACACTAAAATTTCATAATTAGAAAACTCAATAGAAAGTCATCGGAGCAGAACTGAGGCAACAGAAGTCAGAATTAGAGAGAGTGAAGATGAAGCACTTGACACCAACTTATTTGAGGAAAAATCAGATAAAAGAATTCAAAAAATGAAGAAACCCTAAGAATTATGTGGGACTCTATCAAGAGGAATAACCTACGAGTGATTTGAGTACCACAACGGGGTGGGGGGGGAAGAGGAACAGAAAATACAGAGAGAATTAATGAAGATTTGATGGCAGAAAACTTCCCTGATATCGTGAAAGATGAGAAGATATCTATCCAAGATGCTCATCGAACCTCACATAAGGCAGATCCCAAAAGAAAGTCACCAAGACATATTATAATCAAACTTGTTAAAACTAAAGATAAAGAGAGAATTTTAGGAGCGACTAGGGATAAACGAAAAGTCATCTACAAAGGAGAGTCAGTAAGACTAAGCTTGGACTACTCAGCAGAAACCATGCAGACAAGAAGGCAATGGGATGACATACATAAAGCCTTGAAGGAAAAAAAACTGCCAGCCAAGAATTACATATCCAGCAAAACTGTCTCTCAAATATGATGGCGAAATTAGGACATTTCCAGATAAACAGAAGTTTAGGGAATTTGTAAAAACCAAACCAAAATTACAAGAAATACTAAAGGGAGTCCTCTGGTTAGAAAATAATATCAGCTAACAACCCAAGACTAGAACACAGGGCAGAGCAACCAGATAGGGAAGACATAAAAACAAATCAAAGCTAAAATGCAGAAAACAGAGAAAAAGAGATGTCAATAGGTAGAAGGTGACAACATTAAAACAAAAAAGGACTAAAAAAATGTAGTCACAG